AAAATAAAAATAAGAACAACAAAAAGGGTGGAAAAGTGACACTTTAAAATTCAAGCAACTGGGCCCAGGATTTAGTTCATTGGCGCTGCACCTGGCTGGCAAGTGCAAGGACCTAAATTTGAATCCCATATCCAAAAAAAAAAAAAAAATCCAAGTGGCTGCAGTCAAATTTGTTATACAAGGTTTATAGTAAGTGAGATGGAGAAAAATATGAAGGATATAAGAGATATAATTTTGATATGAGAATATTTTGTATGATTAAAGTTTTATCCTGCTAGAGAGATCAAAAGAGAGGGAATGACAAGAGTGGATAGCTTACATACATTGAGGAAGAGCTTGTGGAAATAGCTTAGCAAAAAAATATGTATGGTTGCTTGTTAGTTTGATAGAGCTCAGGTTGTTTCTGAAAGAAAAGGGCTGGAGAGAACGATTTGTGATCACAACAGAGTAGATATGGAAGAAAAAATGGCAAAACCCGTCCCATTAAAATGTTAAAGTTGGGCTGGAGATGTAGCTCAGTGGTCTTGCCCCGGCCTGGCAAGGTCCTGAGTTGGATTCCTAATACCAAAAAAAATGAAAATAAAAATATAAAATGTTAAAGAACTTCAAAAGAGGCTATACAGGGAGCTATAGAGTAAAGCTGACCCCCCCACCACCAACATTGAGAATTCTTTGTAAAATTGATTGCCTCTCCTTTGATGTTGGGTGGCCAGCCAAGGGGGTGATTGACAGAGGGACAATTAGACATGTACATAAGATGATAACCAGGGACAGAGGATGACTAAGACACCCAGATCAGTTTTCCTACATTGATTTCTTGGTTTAATATAATTCAGATTCAACCTACTTGGCTACAGTTCTGTTTAGAGGCTTGCTATAAGATACTGATGGCCTGAACTGAGCAAAAGCAAAAAAAAAAAAATCAACCCTTCTGGTAGCCTTAAAGACAAAGAAGAAACAATAAGATGTAGAGGTGGCCACCAAAATATATATTAATTGTGACTGAGAAGCAAAGTGGGAGACCAACCAGAGGCTCAAATAAATAGATCTGTTGGCAACAGTGCTCAAGGGAAAAAAAGAGATCACTAAGAGGTGGAGGCATGGACATGGGCAAAATAGGAGCCAAACTGAGCCAGGATCTGCCAGATGACCAAAGCCTGATTGGGATCATTATGCACTATGTTAAAAGATGAAAACTGGAAAAATGAGTTCCCAGAAAATGATGGCCTCATTGGACTGACAGAAACTGAGGGTTATAAAAACTAGGCAAGACTGGGCTCCATCTCCTTGGGCCTCCGAGAGCCCATGGTCACAATAAAAATAGGGGAACAATTGATGGACTTTCTGGTCAACAATGATACTGTACACTTGGTAATGACACAACTCATTGGGCCATTATCCAAAAATCATGTCACTATTGTTAGAGTTCCAAAAAAGAGGCCATTTTACTAAGAGGTGTGTGATAGGGAGAAACATAGGTCCAACATGAGTTCCTGTATCTTCCAAACTGCGCAGTTCCCCCACTGGGAAGAGACATAACTCTACAAGTTATAGGCCCAAATTGCCTTGGGCTTCAGAAAAAGATGACTAAGTTTGACTCACTGAGAGACCATGGTATTTACCTTTACCATCTCACAGACTGAAGAGTGGGGACTGTACTTAGACAAGCCACCACCACCAGGAACAAATAAACTATATGGGCTGTCACATAAGATTCCTGGGTATGGGCTAAAAATAATCCATCTGAGCTGGCAATAAATCAAACACTGGTGATTGTGGAACCAAGGATAATTCCAGTTCAGTCTGTCAATACCCGCTTCCCCAGGAAGCCATACAAGACACTTAAAATGGGACATTTAAAATGGCTCTTAGAACATAAAATCTTGACCAGACATCAGTCATCCTGGAACATCCCACTCATTCCAAGGTCTAATAAATACAGACCAGTACAGGACTTGCATACCATAAATTAGGCCATTAAAATTGTATACCCAGTGGTACCAAATCCATTCACATTGATAGCACTTATTCCAGCTACCTTGCTCCCAGTCTAACTGGGAGCTTCCCTTCATAATTGTATGGAAATCATAGGTGAAGTATTCTTGAGCCAAGGAGATCTCACATGTCACCATCATGATGATATTGGACTCTGTGGTAGAGGCCCAGCCTCTTCCCACCAGAACCTCAGTCCAAAAAAACAGGGCTAATAGCCTTAACAAGGGCTTTTTTATGGGAAAAAGACAAAAAAGCTAACATTTATAGTGAATCTAAACATGCCTTTACAGCATTGCATTACATGGGGCCATATATAAGGAAAAAAGACTTTGACTGCTAGAGGAAAAAATAAAGTACAAAAAAATTTTTACAGCTTCTAGGTGCAGTATGAGCCCCAAAGAAAGTGGTTATTATACACTGCAGAGAGCACCAATGGACTAGAACATAAAAAGCCAGCGTAAACCAATGAGCAGACAGAGAAATGAAGTAGGCTGCTATAGCAGCACCCCCAAACCAGAAGAGGGGCCCTGGCCATGCCCCTCACTCCACAGCCTCCTCTCCCAGAGACCCCAAACTACTCCTCAGATGAAAGAAG